CGATGTAATCACAGGGGAGTCACATACATCATGCCAAAGGACCAGAGACATTCTTCGTCATAGTATAAGAAGCTAATTTTCGTTGGTGTCTGGTACAGTGGCGCCACTGTCAAATTCTGTATAAGCACATGGAGGTTGGAAAGAGGCTTTAGGGCAGACTGAACCCCTTTAGAGTAGTCTTAAATTGAATTATAGTTCTAAAGAGTCCTGAGATTTAGGATTTAAGACTTAGGACTTAGTCCTAAAACTCAGTACTATGGGGAGTCCTGTGGCTTTCTTAGAGTAATGCTAACTTTGTCGGATGCCTGCCTTTCAGCATCACAAACACAGCAATCTCCAACTCTCTCTGTTATATGTACCGTCACTGTTTTCAGAGCGAAAACATGGTATAATTTGACAAAGGACAGGGTACTTGGAATTAGAGCTGTCATTTAACATTTAGTCCTTTCAAATTCCTGTCATTACCCCGCTCTTGGCTATATGAACTAGTACTGTTGTATACATAGCAAAATGACTATGGGCGAGTAAAAGCATTAACAGAATTCTAGAATTCTCAGGGATGGGTGGGTTCTAGAGGAGACAATTTTTTTTAGGTGTTCATAGATTAAAAAAAAAACCCTTCAGAGTAGGACTGAATTTTGTGTGCCTTGTTTTTAATATAACCTCATATATTTAAAGAAGTGTACACTATTTTAAATTCATTACAATTCTAGGAGGTGAAAACATCTAACACAGCTCATTAAAGTAAAATAAATTCTCCTGAAGGACCTCCAAGTCAATAGAGGTAAATGATCTCCTGTGACAGAAAAAATAAGTAAATAAAGAACATGAAAAAAAACAAAAACAGAACTAGAAAATACTTGCAGTGGGCTTTCTAAGTACATCTGAAGATCAATTCAGATAACACCTGGGTGCAGAGAGGGTCTGTATGGTCTCAAACAGAAAATCAAGGCAAAGGGCAGATGTGATGTGCAAAATCAGCTATGGGAAGATTCAGGCTTAGGGCTGACAGGACTATAGTGACCCCTGCTGGAGCCTATCTTTTTTTTTTTTTTTCAAACTCAAGAACCTAAGTTGGGGCCTTTGTAAGGATACTTATAACTTCCAATTCCAAGAATAATTGAGTTTGAAAGTTGGGAGAAGGCTTGGAGAACATGGAGCATTCTCTCTTTACTTCATAACTGATGAAATAGGCTGTTAGCCCACAGAGTTTAAATGACTTGCTTTAGGTGGCAGAATGGGGATTACCAGGAAATAAAGACGCCTGCCCAGTTCTTGGGCCTGTTAAAACAGGTGGAGATCTCTGTGGCAACAAATAAAAGTACCTATAATACACACAATGAGGAGGCCAAGCAAAATCTCAAACTGATTTTAAAATAAACTGTTCACTTAATTTGGTTAACTAGGACTCAGTTTTGCTGAAAAAAGAAATTTCTTTAAAAAAATTTTTTTCCACTTTTTAAAATGGAAGTACTGGGGACTGAACGCAAGACCTCATGCAGGCTAAGCATGTGCTCTACTGCTGAGCTATCTGCACACTCCCTCTCCTGCCCCAGGACAAATTTCCAATCCATACTAACAAGCCATTTTTTCCCTTTCCTCTTCGGCCGTTACAAGCTTAAACAGCAGCATGTTAGAATCAAGTTTATTTTTGGAATGCTGAGCTGCCTGTCCTTCACTAGGTTCCCCATGTTCCCCACCTCTGCTATTTTGATCTGTTTGAAATAGTTCTTTGGGCTTGAATATGCTTTTATGTCCTTCCCATTATTGGCCTGTAAAGATCTCTTGATGTTGTACTAAGATAAAGGACAAAAAGGAAATAACACATGTAGGAATGCTTCTTATACCGGGATTTTCTGGAAAACCTGACTCCGACTCTTACCCTCTGCTCAGTGCACTGGAGTCGCCCATTTCAAGTGCTCTGTCTCTTCATCTTTCTTTCCTCAATCCACATCTCTCTCCACTCCATACATCAGAGTTCCCAAGACGCATCATGACCATGGGGTTCGTGCATTCGTTCTCCTGTCACTGTACTAGAAGGCAAGATCCTGGTCCCTATTGATATTCCTAGGTAGTTATGGGGACGTTGGCAAAGTCACTTTTCTCCTTCCACATTTCAGTTCTGTGATCTTTATATAAGTACAATATTGGCTACCCTTCACAGTGTTTCAGTGAGGTTCAAATAAGATGTAATATTTGAAAGAGCTTTGAAAAATAGAAAAAATAAGTATGGGATAGTTTTTGAGATACTGTTTTTATTATTTTCTTTGTAATTTTTTTTCTCTCCAACTGGTCAAGCAGGTAGCCAGATTTTTTTGTTGATTTATTTGTTTGTGGAATTTTTTGAATTAAGCTATCTGAGGTTTGAAAAGTGCCTCATCTTTTACAGAAAAGACTATGCTAGGAGCTCCAGAGAAGGAAGGAAGAGGAGGGTTTTAAGGAATGAGAACAAGATAGAAGTTCGGCTCATTCAGACTAGAAAGGTTACAGAGGTTTTTGCTTTCACTCTGGAGAGCCTGCTCTGAGGATGCCCCTGAGGACGGTGGCAAGACCTCAGGTTAGAAGACTTCATGACGTCGATATTAAAAGCTGATTGTCCACTTTGCATGGCAGAGAGATAGACAGAAGTACAGATCTACATCGATTCATGGGCAAGTGCTATTTGGCTAAGGAGTCGGGGCTTGAAGAAACAGGATTAGGAGATGGGTTACAAGGAGGTCTGAGAAAGAGTTATATGGATGGGCCTCTCAGAGGGGACAGAATGAGATTATTTGTGTTCTATATAGAAGCTTACTAAAAGGTATCCACTGGAAAAGATTCTCAATAGTCAAGTAAACACTATGACCACTGTGAATGTCACTTAGCTGTCTTCCCCAGCCACCCTGATGCTTGACAGTGGGCCTGGCAAGAATGTGGGACTGGGAACATTGGTTCTCTTCACCAAGGCTGATCTGGCTACTTTCCCTGATGAGTGCCTCTCTCATCAACATCAGATATCCACAATGAGCTCCTAAAGTGGTATCAATTTCAGGACTTGCCAGTCACCTGATGGCAGATGGATTACACTGAACCTCTGTCATCATGGGGGAAACACTCTTAACCTGGATTTGGATTTGCCTTCTTTGCCTATGATGTTTCTGCTAGCACCACTATCCATAGACTTAGGGACTGCTTCATTCACTCTTCTGAATCCCATAAAATATTGCTATAGATGAAGGAATTCCATTAAAAGAATAAGAATTGAAGATATGGTTTCATGTCCTTAGGAAGAAGCTGGCTTGATAGAATGATGGAATGAACTATTGACAACTCACTTATGTGGCCACTTGTGGGACGGGGGAGCTGTCCCACTAGTTATACTGTATTCTCTGAACCAGCACCAATACATAATGCTGTTTCTCCCACAGCCAGAACACTTAGATACAGGAACGAAAATGCTCAAGTAGTGGTGGTCTCTTCATTATAATTGCTAATGACCTACTCACATAACTTGTATTTTTAGCCCCGCAATGTTATGCTCTTAGTTCCCAAGGGAGGAACACTTTCTCTAGGAAACACCGGAAGGGTTCCACTGAACGGAGTGGAGACTGCCCAATCAGCAATGTCAATTCTTCATGCCACTGAACCAGCAAGCAAAGAAGGGACTCACTGTATTGGCTGGGGCAGTTGATCCTAATTATAAAATAGAAAAGGTTAGTATACACAGCAAAGGGGAGGAGGACTATGTCTGAAAGCCTGGGGGTTTTCTGGGGAACTCTGAATACTCCCATGTTCATGGCAAAATCTATTGGGAAATTAGAACAACCCAAGCCAAGCAAGCACCACTAATAGTTCAGCTTTTTCAGGAATGAAAGTTTAACTAATAAATAATCACAACTAGTGAAACTATTATCTGAAGACGCAGGGAGCAAAGGAAGGGTAGTAGAAGAAGTGAGGTGCAAATACCAACTATGGCCCATAAACCTTGTAGAAATGAGAACTGTAATCATCATGCATAGTTTCCGATTTTTAAATTTTCCTTTTCATCCCTGAGGACTTCAGGATCTGAATCTAATTATGGAATAGGCCTGGGTCTGGAAGCAATGAGACCCAGTGGGTTTGACCTTGAGGAGAGTCCTTAGTCACATTTGACCTTGAATCAGATTCCTCTGATAAGTCAACTGCCTCAGGTTAATATTAAAACAGGTTACCAGGCAGAGAGAGACAAAGATTGTCAGACAGAGGAGGGAGGTTTGTTTCTATTGACAACTGACTCAGCGGGATGTGGGGATTCAAGATAGCTGGATTCACTGGAACCTATCCAAGTGTTTCCATTGTCAGGATCCCAGTCTCCTAATCAATGCCTAGAAAGCCTGTGCTGTAATGCATAAAGTCACAGAATCAAATTTAGGTTTGTTTTTTGGGTACCTCAGCCCCACTGGTACAAGAAATAAGACATTCTTTTAGGCAGTCAAGGAAGCGTTCTGATTCTCCAACAGTACCCTGAGTTAAACATCTAAATCTCTGGGTTTGTCATTTTTCCCGGCAAGCTTTCCAGTGCAGTCAGAACCACCCCACATCCCTTATAATCTCCACCATGATACTTTACTAACAGCCACTACATTTCCTAAATTCTTGTCATTGAATGGTACCTGATTCCAGAAAACAATGGGATCATTTAAGGAACATTTTGTCACTGCATGGTATGGACTACCAGTGTCCTGGTTTCCACTGACAGTAAGACCACTACTGATTTCAAATCTAATCTGTGTTTATGCTCATGTTCACTACGTGCTCATATCATATGCTAAGTTGCTTGGGAGGAAAGTGGATACAAATGAAGGAAACAAATGGGCCCTGACCTCAAGTATGTTGTGATCTTATAATCAGTAGCTAAGAGAGTTCTGCTGAACTCAGAGAGCAAACAGCATTCTCTGAGCTGCCTCATTCCCTCTTCACTAGAGGACCAGTGGGCACTTTTATTTGTTAAGCTGAGTTAGAGAGGGAAGTAGTAGTTTCTTGGCGTCCCAAGTAGTGACCCCATATTTCTCACAGAAACAATGTTATAAATTATGGTTACATTTCCACACTAATTCCTCCAAGCCTATTATGGGCCCCCCAAAATTACTGAAATACAGTGCTATTTGTATATAAAATACAGTATATTTCTGGCAAAATTATGAATAAGCTTTAAGTGAATGACCAGGAAACCGAATTACCATCTAGATATTGTTTCTATTGTAAAACCTATTTCATATCTAATATAAGACATTAAAAATATTCTTCCACTTTCCCTCCCACCTAAGCACATATACTGTACCCTAGCATCTGTGGCTAAAAGGGAATCCTCCCTTCTTGGTCACCTCTCAACAACGCCATGTGGTCTGGCAGTAAAGGAATCATTCCTGGTGGCTTTGGGAATGTTTGGCAGCAGGGACGGGAGGCAGAAGAGGGTCTTCTCAATGCACAGTGGGCAGGCTGACCCCAATGGTAGGACACCAGAGACAGCATTCACTCCATCTGTTTCAAGATAGAATCCTCTTCTTAGGGACACCTTTACTTCTTTCAGAATCAATCCTTTACAAAATGCTAACTAGCTTGCCAAAGGCCACTCAGCAAGAAAGTGTCAAAGCTAAGGTACAAAGTTAGGTCTTTCCTACTCCAAAGCCCATGTTCCTTCCTCTATATTCTTCAGTACTTTGTATAAAAATATAATCACTTTTAAAATAGCCCACAGTGCCATTTCCCACCAGTGTATCCTGATAAACGAATGTGCCTTACCTCAAGCTTCCTACTTACTTTTGATAGCTATGGTCTCAAACACATTAAAATCACCTCGAAGCTTTAAAATTACCTGAGCTCTACTCCAGATCAATGAAATTAGACTCTCTGAGGGTAGGGTTTTTTTTTAAGTTCCCCATTTGGTTCCAATGCACGTCCAGGGCTGAGAACCACTGGTAATCAAATCGAAGACAAAGGCTTGAAGTTGACAGCTATAATATGCTGCCTGTATAAGCAAGGTACTGAGTGTCATATTAAAGAAAATACATACAGATTAAAGAGAATGCATCTGAGCATTTCACAGTGTGTCTGGCATATGGTAGAAACAAAATAAATGGTAGCATTAAAACTGGACACGCTATAGTGAAAGGAAAGTGGGGTTGGAGTTGGATAGACCTGATTTCAGATCCCAGTGTTACTATTTTTAGTCTTTCCTAAGTTAATATGCTGTGGCTTAGTTTCCTAGTTTGTACAATAGTTACAACAAATCCTATTTTATAGAATTGCTGTGAGAATTAAATAAAATGTTTGTGAAACACCTGGCACATTCCTTCTTTTGTTTGTAACCCAGCTATGCTAATAAAACAGCCACTGAAAACAGTTACAGAATATTCTTGACATTTAGAAATGTTCTGTTATAGGTGTGGAAATGTATAAGTTCTGTATTTAGTATAATAAATTCAGATAACAGTGTAGATTCTATTTATTCTATACTATTTCCTACTCTACTGTAGAATAAAGCATCAAGATTGGTGACCTGGTATGATAAAGAGGGTTCTTGAAGAGAGGGCCGGTGTGTAATGAGCTGGGACAGAAATGCAGGCATCTGGACTCTTCCATCCATGTTATGCTGTTGCCTGGACCTGACCCCAGTGCAGATCAAAGTGGCTCAGAACACAGTGGGAAGCCAGGCTAGACTGTCACCACTGCCTTCATGAAACTGAGTCTAGAACAGCCATTAGCCACTTACGTCTCAGTGCTGTCAGTGCCTGATGTAGGGGATTGCAATCAAGATGGAATGTGTCAGCAGTGTTCAAACAAACATCGCTGCTCCATCTTGGGAGCAAAGCCTATTAATAGTAGATCTGGATATGGCTCACACCAGACCCTTGTGTAATTATCTGTCTTCACAGGATGTGCCTGGCACAAAGCACTAAGAAATCTGGAACACTGCCTGACATATACAAGGTACTCAATAAGTGTCCCTTGGATTAAACTGACCTGTGTCCTCTGCTTGGAACACTTTCCTGACTGGTACTAGATGTTAACATTTACTGGGTCTTAACGACTGCCTGGCCCTGTACTAGGCACTTTATATAGCGATCGTCTCATTCATCTGGCAAACTCCTGCCCATCCTTCAAGATCTAGCTCAAATGTCAGCTATTCGGTTAAACCTTCTTGACTCCCCAAGGCAGAGTCCTCCGTGCTTCTGCACTGACAGCTCTTTGCTCAGACTTCAGAAAAGCACTTACCACCTTCTACTTTAACATATCTGTTTACAAGTCTGTCTCCCCCACTGCACTGTGAGGTCATCAGGGGCATCAAGTCTTTATTACTTTTTTCTTCATTAGTGGTACTTAATGCAGTATCTGATGAAATGAATTTTCAAAACTTGCTTGCAATTCTGCTGACTAAATGATGTTACACTGAATGCTTTTATTTAAAAAACTACATCCTTTTCTACATAGAAGCCAGCTAATATTTTTATGTAACTGAGGAAGGACAATTTTTATATAACTGAAGAAGAATGAATCCTGTGTCTCAGAATCTGAACCAGTGAAGAGTGGGATATGAGCTCTATCTGCACACACCAACTGTGAGAATCAACATCTCCCAGGAAGTGCCTAATACGCTTTCACTAGCACCTACCCTGGGACCAAATTGGTGTTCTCAGGATATCGGTAGTTCCTGGTAACTGTCTTCTGGCAGGACCTATGGTCTGCAACAAAGAAAAAGAAACATGAGAGGATTTATACATAAATACAAACACCTCATTTTTCAATAAAGCATTATCACCTGAAATCTTAAACTCTAATTATGAAATGGAGAAATAATACTTGCCTTATATATTTAGTGAGGATTAAATGAGATAATGTATATGAAGTGCCTGATATAGTGACTAATTTATTGCAAACTGAAAAAAAATGTGGTAGCTATTTTATTATCCCACAACCAGGCAATACTCCACTAACCTTCCAGCTTTCTAACTCCTTTATTTGCAATAAATAGTGTGGAGTTGGGAGCTTACTGAGAAAATTTCCTTGACTCCCAGGTGTCTGATGTGAGCAAGTGGTTGAATAATGGTGCCATTTAGTGAAATGGAGAAGACTGGGTGGGGAAGAGAGTACTGGTGGCAAATCAAGAATTCTGTTTTGGCCATGGTACGTTGGAAATTCGTATTAACTACCCCAAAAAGGATGTAAAGTAGACTGCTGAATACGTCTGGAGCAAACAGCAAATATTTAATATTAAAGGTCATAGGACTGGATGAAATATCTATGGAGAAAGCATACATATAATAAATGTCATTTTTTTCACAGTTATAAAACCTATTCTGTTCTAAAATTTTTTTCTGCTTAGTATATTATAATCATCCTTCTATGTCAGTATATACTTACATTTGCATGGAAGTAGATAAATAATTGATTTAATTTATTTCTAATTGTTGGACACATAGGGTATTTGCAATTTTTCAATGTTATAAATTGTATAAATATTTTTGAGACTTTGTGCAAGTTGATCTGTGGGAAAAATTCTAGAAAATAGAACTTCTGGATCAAAGGGCATAGCATATCTAAAATTTTGAAAGAGAATGCCAAAATGCCCTACAAACTGGATAAAAATTAAAATCTACACTCCCACCAAGAGGGCAAGAGTGGGCTCTTTTCCAATGTTTATTCTAACACTTGAGTGAGAAATGGTATTTCACTGATACTTTAATGTTATTCTTACTTATGAGGGAGGTTGAATATCTTTTTATTTACTGGAAATAGATAAAATTTATTTTTGGTTTATTGGAAATTTGTAGTTCTTTTGTCATTTTTCTACTGGGTTGTTAACTTTTTTCTTATTCTTAAGGGTTCTGGAAGGTAAGACAAATTTACCCTTTTTCCTGTCATGAGTGTTTCATTTCCTCATCTTTGTTATGTTTGACTTCCAAGGAGACTTCTACCTCGGGCTACATTTGATCATCTGGTACTGTACCTGCCTTTCTGCTGTAAACAATTAGAAAACAGGGTAGAATATGCAAAACAACTGCTTCAGAACTGGACACAGACAGAATAAGACTGTGATCCCTAAGAGAAGGGAAACAAGTCAATGAGCCATAGAACTGCCCTAGAGGCACATTTTGGATCACAGTGCAGAGAAGGGAAAGTCAGGCAGAGCACAATAATCTTGCTAAGTTGAGGAACCGAAGATCAGAAATCTAGGAGGTCAAGGATAGGGTGCTGGAGAGGATGGAGCTATTTGAAGAAAAACTCCAAAAATCTGTGTAGGGTTCCCTTGAGTCTGAAATAGGCTGCAAATGAATAGAGTGAAATTTTATGGGCCAGGCAATGAACACCGGGGGAACTGTAAGTGGAACACTTCTTCAAGGTCACAATGGGCTCCAAGATCTGACCAGCCGGAGTAAAAGACATGTTGAGTATCCAGGGCATTAATTAACCTTAGAAAGGTCATGTGTTCATAATTAGATTAAACTAGTCCTGGACTAAAGGCTACTGTAGACCCACCCCAGCAAACTTGAAAGGCAGCTTCAAAAACATCAAGCTGATCTACAAGAAACTTATCTGCTTGTCTAAACCAATTTTAATATTCGTTAAAGGAAGACAATGAAATTCAGACACTTTATAACGTAATGTTTATAATTCCCTCCACCCAATAAAAAATTAGCAGACATACAAATAAGCAAGAAAATGTGACTCAAATCAGGGGGAAAAACAGTCAATGTAAACAGACACACAAAAAGACACTGATGATGGAATTTGCAGGCAAGGATTTTAAAAGTCATTAAAAATATGCTCTAAGCTTTAAAAGAAAGCATGAACATAATAAGGAGAGACATGGAAGATATAAAAGAACCAAATGGATTTTCTAGGGATGAAGTACAATATCTGGGATGAAAGTTTCACTTGATGAGATTAAGAGATGATTAGATACTGCAGAAAAAAATCAATGAACCAGAAAAATAGGAAATAGCTGTCAAAACTGAAACACACAGAGATAAAGAGAATGAAAAATATTAATACAGCCTCTGTGACCTGTGGGACAACATCAAATTGTCTTATTAATATATGTGCAATTACAGTCCCAGAAAGAGAGGAGGAAGAAAAAATATTTGAATAAATCATAGTTAAACTTTCCTCAAAATTGATGAAAACTATAAACCCCCAAATCAAGGGAAGCCAATAAACCACAAGTAGGATTAACACAAAGAAAACCACACCAAGGCACATCATCTTAAAATTGCTGAGAACCAATGATAAAGTCTTAAAAGTAGTCAAAGAAAGACATACCACATATAAGAACAATGATAAGTATTACTGCTGATGTCCAGAACAATGTAATATAGAGGACAATAAAATGATATCTTTAAAATGCTTAAAGGAAAATGATGATAACAGAGAATTTTATATCCAGTGAAAATATCCCTCAAAAATGACATACTTCTAAATAATCAATAGGTCAAAGAAATAAGCACAAGAAAAATTAGAAAATATTTTATATTGTGCATGACTTTAATGTTTACTTTGCTATGCTGAAATTTGAAAGTTTTATCTGAACATGTTTATCAGGCTACAATAGAAAAGACTGATAAATGTGCCTAGTTAATTTTAAATTTCATCATGGCAAAGAAAACCTCAAACACATGGACATACAAGTGCTTAGAATGTATGCTACCCACTCCAAAACTTACATCATGCTATTCAAAAAACACTCACATTTCCTTCTCATACTTTTATGCTTTCATTTTTGAGATCTAAATTTTTGATGAATACAAAATTGTCCCTGTTTTCATGGAGCTTACTTTACAGTCTAGTGGCCAAGGCTCCCTGGGCTATTTCTGTTGCAATACCAATACACAAGCCATCTATTTAATGGCTTAACTGAAAATGACACGTTTATCACTTATGTGATTTTCTTACATGCTTGTGTCTATTTTGACTCTTCTTTCTGTTTTACTTCTCTTTTTCTTATTCTATTAATGCCATGCTATTTTAAACTACTAAGCTTTAAAATGTTTTCACATCCATTAATGCCAGTCCCCTCTCATTCCTCTTCCTTATCAAAATTTACCTAGCTATTCTGAAATATTTGTTACATCTAAAAGATTGATTGAGGTTTTAATTGGAAATTACGTTGCATTTATAGACTAAAGAGAATGACATTTATACATCATTCTTTCTATTCAAGAAAAGAATATGTCTTTCCATTTATTATTTTAGTTTTAATATTTTCTTCATATGGAGCAGCGGGCTTTTTCCCTGGTTGTACATTACAATCACTTAGATGGTTTTTAAAAATACAGATGTTTAGGCCCTGTTACCAAAGGCTTAATTGGTTTGGTGTGGAGCATAGGAGTTGTGTATTTATTAAGAGCTTAACCCCATTCACAGTTAACAACTACCAGTGCAGGGCCTTGCATACTTATAGCTGAGTTCTTCATAGCTGTTTTTATTTGCTTTGGCTTAGTTTTGGCTGTTATTTTGAATGGCATCTTTTTTGTTCATTATATTTTAAAATTGACTACTTTTTACATAAAGAAAATCTATGTTGCAGAGTGCATTAATTTTGTAACATGTCACCTTACTGAATTTGTTTCATATATGTTTTTCAGTCAGTTCTTTATATTTTTATAGGCATTAAATTATACCACCTGCAAAAATGACAACTGTTCCTTTTCTTATATTTATGCCTCCTTCCACTATCTTGTTCATATTCCATAAGAATAACAAGTAATAGTTATGGTTGAGTGTATCCTTAACATATTTCTGATTTTAATGAGAATATGTATAGTGTTTCTTTCATCATTAAGCATAATGCTGATTTATCACTCTAAGAAAATATCCATCTACTCATATTTTACTGAAGGTTTTTTTTTTTTCAACAAGGAATGGTCCTAACTAAAGAATTCCTATTTAAATTCTGTCAAGTGTTTTACAGGAATATATTAAGATGATCATGTTTTCCTCCTCCTCTTACCTATTAATATGTTGAAAGAACCATGTTTGTGCTGCTGGAATGACTGTGTTTCATTTCAGTATAATGTTCTTTCAATGTACTACAGAATTCTACTTGCTAATATTTAATTTAAAAATTCAGGTGGGTAGTCTTTTCTTGCTTTTATTGTCATGTATTAGCATCAGTAGCTCAGTTTTTTTTGTAAGCTTCCTGTATTAATTTTTATTCTTTAATTTATTAAAATTCTAAGACAGTGGCTTTCAGAGTATTTTTATTGTGACCCAGAGTAAGAAAGGCAGCTTTACTGGAGACATGGAAGAAGAGTCTGTCTCTTTTCCAGCATCTCTGCGCTTCCTTCCTCCCTGTGGGATGAAGACATAACTCACCTCCCCTGCCTTTAACATGTCCAACTCATCACAAATCCCCAGTGAGTAGCACCTGAGTTACTCAAGTTTTGCTGTTATACTTTTAGACTTTAAAAAAATTTAGTTTTCAAAATAGATAATACATTCTCATGGGTCAAAACCAGAACATATAAAAAGTTATATGGTGAAATGTCTCCCCTCTCCTAACTCATGTTTCTATTAACCCAGTTCCTACCCTCCAGTTGTAACTACCCTTCTTAATTGCTTACATATACTTAGTTCCAGAGTTGTTTAACGCACATACAAGCAAAGTTCAAATATGTGTTCTTATATTTCTCTCTTTACCAGAGCATAACATAATTTTTTGATCTGTGTGTGTGTGTGTGTATTTTTTGTTTTTGTCTTGTTTTGTTTTTAATTAATATGTTTTGGAAACTTTTCCTTACTTGTTCATAATTTGCTTTCTCATTCTTTTGTACAGTGGCACAGTATTCCAGTATGTGAATGCATCACAGTTTTTACTTAATTAGACCTTTATTGATAGAAAAAAAAGAGAAAGAAATGCATCTTTAAAAGGAGATCTGGCATAAGTATACGCACTGTAACAAGTTTCACATAATACTTGCTCTATGAGTATTCACTCTGTACTATTCTATTTCTTTAAAAAAATGCTCATCTCAAAACACTATTTTGAAAAATACTGTATGTTATTTGAAGATTTGGAAGAATTATCTATAAACTGATGTTTTTCAGAAAGTAGTTCTCTGGCAATTATTCCATTTTCTTTCTTGCTTATGTTTTTTCTAGACAATCTATACCATCTTAATTTCACACAGGTCTTCAAATTTATTTGCATAATACTTTCGCAGTACACTTTTTAAATTCTTTAATTCTTTCACAGTGTCTGTAAATCATTTCTCTCTCTCGTGCCTTCTTTATGTTAGTCAGCTTAGCTAGTATATTGGGATTTTTATTTTCTCCTTAAGTAAAGAAATTAGAGATTTATATTATCAATTCTATTGTTTCTGATTTTACCTTTTTATTTCTCTTCTGCTTTCTGAGGTTTAACTTGTAGTCTGTTTCCTACTTTTTTGAGTTAAATAGTATGTTATTTTTCTTCTTTCTTGTATTTGCATTTGAAACCATGACTATCTGATGAACATAGCAGTAGCTGTATCCTATAGGTTAGGTGTGTAATGTTTTATTACTTTGTACACATTTTGCAACATCAATTTGATTTCCTCTTTGTAAAAAGGTTGTTTTAAATAGTTTTTATTTTTCCAAGTAGGGTAGATGTTAACTTTTATTTTGGTCATTCATTTTTTGTTGAATTGCATGGTTATCAGAGAATGTGGTCTGGATTATTTCTAATTTTTGGAATGAATTGAGGGATCTTTTGTGTAGGGGGGGCCAATAATATAGTCAATTTGGTAAATGTTTCATGAGCTTTTAAAAATAAGATGATTTTCAGTTAACAAGATACCTATTTCATCTATTTCATCTACCAAGTCTATTTCATTAACCTCATGGACTTCTTTGTTCAAATATATCCTTACCAACTTCTGATGACTTGATCCATAAAATGAATTAAAGTAGGGTACTACTATTTTGTTTCTAATCATTTTCTTTGAAGTTCTGCATTTTTTATTTATGTGTTTTATTGTATTACTTAGTGCTTTAAGATTTATGAAAGGTGTATCCTCTCTGTAGATCTTTTACCATCATAAAATTTCCTCCTTCATCTTGTATTATACTTTTTGTCTTAAATTTCACCCTATCTGAGTGATATCATGACCCCAACTTTCTTTTTGTTCACATTTGCCTGGCATATCTTTTCCCACTTTTTTCTCTCTAGTTTTCTAGTCATTTTGCTTTAGATCTACCTCTCTGTACATCACATATGCCTATCCCTCACTTTACAAAAGTTAAATTTATAAATTTTCAATTCTGCAAAAAGTTCTAATACAAATTAATATTAGTAATATAAATATTGTTAGGTACTACTGGTATAATTGTTATTAAATACTGCCAATGATTTTAACTTTTACCTGGCATCAGGCACTGTTCTTGGTGCCTTACATTATTATCTCATTTAGTCCTCACAACTTCACCAATATTTCTGTTCTGCAGATGAGGAAATGAACGTTTCCTAATTTGTCCAAAGTCAGGAAGCTCATAGAGAGTAGCTAGCAAAAGAGTTTATTTATTCATGGGTTTTGGAGAGGGGAGTCTTTATAATTTTGTTTCTAGTCACCCATTTGTTCTCCTCTTTTCACTCGTAAGTCTCCAGTGTACATACCATTTCAGCTACACCTAGGAAACTGTTGGTTTGCCACATAGTCCAACTTCTTTCCATAATTTTGGACTTTCTCAAGTGTTGCTTTAACTATTACCCACTCTTCTCTAGGGGCAGCACGGTGTTGTATATAAATATACTCAATGCCTATCCACAACCAAACAGTGAGTGTTAAACGAATATTTCATGAAACGAAATTCTAAGTAGAGTCTTTACCAAATTTTATCAAGTATTTAAATTTCAGCTGTTCTCTCATCAGATTTCTCCTCTGAGTCTAACTGAACATGTAAAATATTAGATTTATTCATATTTAAAATTAAGGTAGAAAATTTGATTATATTACAATGGATTTAAACTCACTGTATCATGCAAAAATGTCTAATATTTAACACAGATTTTTGAGTCTTAATAATAGTAATGCCTTACTTATGGATTTTATTCAATAAATGTATGTTGTAAAAAAGAGAAGATACATAAAACTAAATTCAAGGTTTAATCTGAAGTCCTTAAGACCTTAGAAAAATTGGTAGTATACAGGTGATGTAGTTCTTAGAGTTCCCAGCAGGGGCCAGAATGTTCATGTTAAATCTAATTAAATGAAAATGTTTTTACTACAATTCAAGACTGTACTCATTTTTAAACCAATATGAAAGTCAGATAGAACTCTTTATAATTAAAATTACTAGAAACTTCTGACTTATTAATTTAAATTTTCAAGAATGTAAATATATAATTCAAAATATCATAAAATAAGCTTAACAGACATAGTAATGTTTTATAACAAAAGGCTGACCCGCAATATCTGAGCAAATGGGTATCCAAAGTACGTTCAGTCAGTAGCCACTAAAACCCCTACACTGATTGCCAAACTCAGCTCATTGGGTCTTTCAGTTGCCAAGCCAGACGATGGACTGGGTCCAAGAACAAAGGGCACCACTATGGCATTGACCCAGGAAATTGAGTACTGACCTTATTTGTTAATTTTAGAACATTAAAAAAAAAATCTTAACTCAATATAAAAGAAGTACTGGTGATTCAAATGTATTTCAATGCAAATTTCCTTTGTAAATCAAATGAACTGTTTTTAATTTAATTCTAATTTAAGTCACGTAACTTCTCTCTGGGCCTCAGTTTCTCCATCTGTTCATGAATGGGTTAGATATGATAATCTTAAAATTCTGATGTTCCCTAAAATTCAATTTTTTTTCCCTTAGGCAAAAAGCATCATTTTTACCCTGTCCTTAGTTCTTGGCATAGTCCCTGTCACAAACTAGGTGCTTAGTAAGTGTTTAATGAGCAAATAAATGAATAAACAAAACAAATGAATGCATTTTTAGAGAGCTCTTTCTAGGAATTTACAAAAGAATTTGGAAATCGGATGCCTGTGAAAGCCAGTCTCCTGTGAATTATGAAAAAAAATGCTTTAGGCAGTTCCAAGGAAATAAGGAAATATTTTCTGAATACTCTTCGAAAGAACTGAATTCTTCTATAGCTATCACTACTTTCTAGTCAGTGACTGAGTAAAGAGGGAGTTAATGTTTTTAAAAAGGATTTTATACTTTAAATTTAAGATCTAAATCTAAAGAAAATTTTTTAATTATTTGAAGAAACATCCTCTGTATTGAGTCTATGGTTTCCCAAGCTCCGCCAAAACAAAATCCTGAAAACTGCAAGGTTGTTCTCTTGGGGAGTGGTTGTTTACCAGAAAGCTTAATTCTTAATAATAAGGGTAAAGCTTTCAAAACTAAAGATATGCCTCTGCCAATTCAATCTACATTGTCATCTGCCCTGGAAGCCATGTACTTGTTCATTTGTTCTAAAGTAAATGAAACCATCATGAAGGAAATCAATTATCAAAAATCACGACAATGAAACTTCTTATACTCGGTTTCTAATTTGTAAATTTTAAAAATATTACTTCATTAAATCTGGGGGAAAACGTATAACTGCAGGCATAAGTTTTGTGCCTTCTTAATCCAAGGAGGTGGTCAGTAGTATGGAAGCTTAGACCAAATGTGAGGATGTGGCTGTAGCAAATTTGAGAGCCTGACTAGAGACTGCTGAAACATAGGTCAGGGAATCTGAAACATCCCCACCTGCTATTACACCACATAAACAAAAAGAAAATTTAAGTTCAGTTTAAAAAGGGCTAAATTAGTGAATCATAAACTTTTTCCAAACATCAGCCACTGCCTTTGGGCAAAGGATTTAAGTAGCTCTGCTTATTTGCTAATAACGGAATAAAGACATTATTTGAGATAGATTCTCAAAACTTGAATAATGTCAAGATTCTTTTCCAAGGAAAAACAATTTTTTGAGAACTACCTTAAATAAAAGTCAACCCCTATCACTTTAGATGCCACTTGAAGCCAACTTGATTATAGTAAAAAATTAAACTGTAAACACTGTTTAACAACACTATAGACATTATATTTGTAGACACTGTAGAAAATAAAGCATAAAAATTGAAGCATCATTCAGATGTAAGGTGGCTGGTTACCTGGATGCTCCAAAATATGCATCAAGTACTAAGTTTTGTGAAATTACTTCTGGAACTCACAGACACTCTTGGGGAGCTAAGGAACTTAGCTGTAGAGAGCATTCTGGGAAAATAGGTTTACTTCTGGTTGACCTGGGCTGTCTCCTCACAGAGCTATGCCTTGTTTTAAACTGAGGCAATAAACTCCATCCCAGTTTTAGGGGAAAGTGCCTTCCTGCTGGTATGAGGAGAAAGCCGGGAGCGAAGGAGTACTTTACGAAAAAGAAAATGTAGTAGAAGACTATAACATGTATCATCAGTTCACAGTTCCACCCACTGGGTCAAGCAAAGAAGACTGTCCAGCCTTGGCGTTGCCTAAACATGCATGCGCACGTGCGCGCGCGCACACACACACACACACACACACACACACACACACACACAGAGCCTTTTAAGATTTCTTTTCTCCTCTGGCTACCTTCGACGCTCCTTAAACTCAGTTTGCCTTAAATAGGACCTGTGTTAGGTAAGGGCTCTGGTAGTCTTAAACAGTGATGTCACAGCCAGCATGGTCACTCCCTAGCAAGGTCTTGTTAAGAGCCACACAGTAGTCATAGATCATTTAAATGCAAAAGCTCCAGTGGGATGTTCAAGTGCTCAGTGCGCTACCACAGAGCTGTGAAAAGGGGTGAGGACAGAGGGACGTACCAGTACTGGTACTCCATGCCAGTACAAGTAGGAGGGAATCCAGCAGAAATGCTACAAATCATAGTCAGAGCAAACAAAAAACACTACAGAAGCACTTAGAAAGTCTATAAATATAAACATAGCAATATAAATACCTACTGAAAAATTTGCAAGTTGAATTTTCTTTTAATTAAAAGATGTTCATTCATTTATTGGTTCAATTATCAGTAAATACCCTTTTGGCAACCTAATTATGTGCCAGGTATTAGACCGTGAAGCTGAAGAGACAAAAATGAGCAAAATAATTCTGTTTTTAAGGAGCTCGTAGTCTAATGGGGGAGGGAGGAGTAGAGATGGGAAGATAAGTAAGGACACAAAAGCAAGCATTTGAGAATTATAATAATCTATATAATTTCAACACTAAGTCTAGATCTAGTATTTTTTTCAGTGGAAAAATAAGGAAGCCAAATTGTAACTTAATTTTTATTCTTCGTGTTTCAAATGTATAATGAATAAACTAGAGTTCCCAGTTTGGAAAGGAAGGAGGAGAGAAATCACATTTTGAAGTTTTCCTGAATTAATCCTACCTCTAAAGGACAGTGGAATGCAGAAATTTTGTTAACTGGGACATTATCATAACTCACTGGCATAATATAAATGTTATCATCCCAAGACTGACCTGAGAACTCCCTAGATAAATCCCTCAAGACCAGATTTCAGTCTATACCCCAAAACTGACAAATGTTGTATAAATGTACTCTAGATAACCTTCAAATTAGTAGTTGCTGATTATAATACAGTAATGTTTATATTTCTGCTCTTGGCAATAATTATGTATCAGTAGGTAAATAAGACCATATTTGATGTCTCATTAAAACCAGAGGTATTAGGGGGAGGGGATTTCAAGATCAAAAAAGTTCAATCAAAGCTGTGTAAAAATTATTACTTTGGGGCACTGTTCTCAACGTGTGGTCTGGGGAATCCCTGGAGTGAAGACCCTTTCAGTCTGTGGAGTAAAAACTATTTTCAGAGGGGTGGGTACAGCCCAGTGGAGAGAACATGCTTAGCGTGTACAAGCATGCACGAGGTCCTGAGTTCAATCCCCAGTACCTCCATTAAAAAAACAAAATAAAAAATGAATAAAAATAGAAACCATTTTCATAATAAAGTTAAGATTTTTTTGCTACTCTCATTCTTTCTTATGTGTATAGTGGGGCTCTCCAGAGGTTCTGGGATATGTGATGACATCATCACTCTGTCAGCCAACAGAATATAGGTGTGCATATGCCTTATTCTAAAATTTCTCATTGTTAATTTATAATGTGTTAAATATTGATAGATATGACCCACACAAACAAAAGCTTTTGAGGATCCTAAATAACTTTAAAGCAGAAAGGAAATCCTGAGACCAAAAGGTTTGAGAACTGCTTTAGGGAATACACCTCAAAAGAAAGGGTATACCTCATCAAATTTTTTCCTGTTCTATTAGACAGTAGGTTTCATGAAGACAGTGGCTGTTTCCGTCTGGCTCATTGTTTTCTCCTCAGAATCTAGCACAGTGCCTGGCATGTAATAGGCATTAGAATATTTCATAAATAACAAATGGATT